TCATTTTTAATGATCGTTGAAAGCCCAGATCGTAATCGTGATTAAAAATCGATTAATTGAGCAGCCCTATTGTACATAATACTGTAAATTAAATAATAGTATATTACTGATAAACAACTGTATTTGTGAAGTTTCTAAATCCAAACGGTGTGCAGGATGCCCACCGTCCTTATTTATTTTTGGTTGATGTTTTTGTTTAATGTTTTACTCCAGTACTGCTACCGGGACTGAATGAATACATCAGTTGTCCTGCAATAATATTTAAAGGAACAAAATGTCTGTGTGTGCTCGCCACTTCTTTATTTAACTTGACTCTAATCCAGTAGGACTGTTAAAGATTCAGCTGCAGGCTCGGTTTGGAAACTGAGAAGTCTTTCACTGTGTGGTACCCTGTAGTATGCCAGTTGTAAGCTGATCTGGATGAAGGCGTCTGGGCTGACTCGGCATTTCTTGATTCGTCCTTTGCCAAACTCTCTGAATGGAAACACGTGACAGTCGACATCATCTGCCAGCGCCTGTGCAACAGCTAGAGAGCTGCTGACCTGAGCCTGAACCTGAAACACAGAGAATCACACTGCAAAATTAGCATTGCGTGACAAGATTTTGAGTGAAAGTCAAAAAGCCCCAGATGTTGTCGTGCAAATCAGTTTACAGCTGCCATACAAGGCAACACCCTTTAAAAGAACGCACACATTTGAGCAAAAACCCAGTACAGTCTGGTTTCTTACCAATTCTGTATAGAAAAACTTTTCTCTAGATTACAGTGGTGAAAAGACAACAGCAGATAAAGGTGGAAGCAGTTTTGTGTTTTGTCCATTTCTAGTGAAAGCTAAAGACTGAAGGAGTGAGCAGAGGTCAAACAGAGCCTGTATCCATAACTGTGCAAAATGAACAATTTCAAAATTGTTAAGACATTATGAGATATGTCTGAAAGTTCATCGTAGACTTCTGTTTGAAAGAGGCACTTACTCTCTTTCCTCCACTTCTGCCAATGTGCACAAACCTGGACTTCCTTTTATGAGGCCACATATAACATCTGTTATTCCAAAATGTGGGCCTGTTGAAATCAGTGCTGATTTTTTTTCAGTGGTTTACCAAAAATTAATACAATACAGTCACAGAAAGAAAAATAACAGTACTTTGTCAGTTTCAGCCTTGTTTAAGATTAGTGTGACAGATTGAGATGTACAGTGATATCTGCAGAGTCTTTGACATCAGTTGGTCCAATGCTAACTTCCATCTTTGTACATTTTCTTCTGTAGATGAATTACAAGACAAAGCAACGCCTACTTGACTCCACAGTAGGGATGGGTATCGTTCAGGTTTTATCCGATACCGGTGCCAAATCGGTACTTTTGAAACGGTGCCGGTGCTTAAACGGTGCTCAAACCGGTGCTTAAAGAATGGAGAACACAAAATTGGTCCAAAAACCTCTCATGTTTAACTGTTTCCCACTTTTTCTTTGGTCATTTT